TACTCTTGTGGACTTAGGTATATCGCTTGTTCAACACAGATTTCATTCAAGATGGTGCAAAAACAATATCTTGAGTGATTAAGAAGAGGTAGAATCGGGATCCCAATTGACATGTCAGCTCCTAGTCTCAGTGAGAATACTGCCAAGCACTGGGTTCTCATCGTACACTATGCTGACGAATCCCAGGGCTAGTCACCATACACAAAATAGAAGCGTGCTAAGAGCAAATCTAATGTTCACTGATTAAGATACAGTGACCCTTATAAAAACAGTTAATCCTCTGTTGATTCCTCTACATTGCAGATGACATCATACACTCTGAATGACACATTAATTTATTGTTGTCGCTGTGTTTGCGGTTGACCTTGACTTCTTTGTCTATCTCAGTATGGTGGAGTTTTTTTCAAGTGAACAGTTGGTTAGATTCTTGTATCTGGAATAGCAGTCTGGTCAAGATAAGCAACAAGCAGAGAAAAACAGTAACAATCCATTACGATAAGTAGTGAGATGAATTAAGTGCAAACATTACGAAACAGTGCTTACTAAATTACTTAAATCAAATGTAAAGGTAGTGTAGATACCGTACGCTCTCCTTCTACTATAACTACTTCTAACGTTACTAATCATGCAGCTGATAACTTTCATTACTTTAATACTCTCAATGTTCTAAAATGTCTTAAAACGCTTTAGCCATTACGTAGCCTTGGCCCTGAAGTTATACCTGCATATGTTCTAAAACAATGTGCAGATACTTTATGCTCTCCACTAACTAACATCCTAAATGCTTCTTTCTCCAAAAACGTTGTACCTGTCCCATGAAAATAAAATAAAATAATTCCTATGCATAAACCTAGCAATAGCAAAAACGTAAAGTTCAGACCCATTGCGATCACTTCCCCGTTTCTAAAACTTATGGAAAAACTAGTACTTCTTAAACTCTAACCCTCCCTTAAAAGCTTTGAAGATCACAAACAATTCGCCTATAGACAGGGTAGGAGCACTTTAGACGCTGAAGCCGTCTTACACAACAGTATCGTCCTATCATTAGATAAGGGTGCCAAATACGTCCACTGCACGTTTCTCGACTTCACTTCTGTTTTCGACTCTATACCTGGATGTCGCTTGCTAAATAAGCTCTCTATGACACACACTGAGTGTTGTGTCACTAACTGGTTGCATTCCTACTTCTCTAGCAGAATGCAGTATACGGTATGCAAAGGCGAATCCTCTTCTGCTGGGCTCACTGAAGCTGGTGTCCCCCAAGGGGCTGTACTCTCCCCACTTCTCTTTTCATTCTTTCTACATGACTTACCATCTTCAAATGACATTAATTTTGTTAAATATGCTGACGACCAGACTGTATTTTTGCCTGTCAAATGTCACAGTGACTGCTCCAAACTAAATGGCTTTTTATCAGAAATCAGCCGATGGTCCAAGTAAGATGGTCTTACCTTAAACCCCTCCAAATGACAAACAGTCAATTTCACCTTTAGGCATAAATCTGACCTAAACAAACTGGTTAGCACTTGCGAGGTGTGCAACATAGATGGCACTGAAATTGAAACCAAGTCGAAAATTAAATACCTAGGCGTCACTCTATCTGCTGATCTTTCCTGGTCATCTCATATCTTGATGATTTCTAAGAAAATATTCCCTCATACCTTCTACATCAAGAAGTTAAGACATTCTAGTATAACCCAACCCTTACTACTACAATTCGTTAACTCTCGCATTCTGCCTATTATTCTCTATTAATTCCCCTTAGTTTTTCCTGGGCTACTGAAGAAAGACTATGCCTTATTACACAGGATATTAAAGGTTGTCAGCAGGGTAAACAACGTCCCACTTAACCAGCTTGCTAATATTCTGGTTGACACGCACTTGGACCCATGTGAAAAATGGGCTAAATCCATTTTATCTATCTAACTCACACCACCCTCTTCATTCACAACTCTCCCATTGTATCTCATCAAGCAGAACCAGAAGCCTATATAGAAAACTATATGTTCGCACTAGTAAGTACAAAAACTCAACCACACCCTACTTAGCTCGTGTTCTGTGCGATAAAGAAAGCATTAGGCGTGAAACCTCTAACTTATTAAATAGTCAGTAGAAAAACTGGATGTCATTTTTCCAACTCATATCATTTATAGGTACAATGTTTTCTTTATTTCTTTTCTTCTCTTTTTTTCTGTTATGTGCTGCTTTATTTCTTTCTTCTGCTTACGCCAGTAAATATGTTATCACCTATTTTTCTAACACCTTCAAACACTGTTCAATTTAGGCTATGCTACTGACGTGCCAATACAGTTGTTGTCATGATGAACTTATATTTCCTTAGTCTATGTAGAATTTTATTTATTGTACTAACTGGATGCAATACTGTAGTGAAATTCTGAGAATTTATATTCTGTATCACATGTACTGTTTTGGAATAAAGCAAATTATTATTATTATGTTATAGGTCTCTGTACTAGGTATTCTAGTTTCAACCTCTGGTTTGTGATGTCACACTGTGTTATGTCAGATGAGACATGAGTGGGAGGCCGGTAAGCAAAGTCCTCAATTTATTGGCAGGGTTAGTTGAAACGTAGAAGAATTGACGGAACAACTCCATGGAAAACTTAACATAACGGAAAACCAACATGGGATGCACCTTCTCCCATTTCCTGAGCTTTTTCCTACTGGTAAAAAGCACAACCCAGTACTCTTTTAGTACTCAAATATTTGAAAAATTTGTTTTGAAAGCACAGTTGAGACTGAATTGAAGTATCTACTCACCATCTTTTTAGAAAAGGGATGTCCACGGATTAACAAGAGAGAAAAATCACCGTCGCAGAAGGATGTAAATGTTCCTCAGAAAACTCTCTTCATGAACCTGGAGATGAAAGATAAAATAAAAGCAGTTATTCTGAGAAACCACGTTTCCAAGTAACCAAAGAGGATATTTCAGGAAAGCATCCTGAGTATCACGTCCTCCAATAGACAATTAATCCAATCATGTGTGTCGGTGGCACAGTGGTTAGGGCTCTCACCGACCATGCTCATGGTCCGGGGTTCGATCCCCTGACGACGCACACCTGATATCTATGGTCGGCCTGCGAAATTCGGGCTACCGATATCACATGCTGAAAATTCCATACATGTACCATAAATACGATGTGGAGTCAAGCTGTAATGAAAAATAAAAAATAAAAATAAAAAATAAAGAATTAGATATCCATTTTGACCAACTTAATGCGTATTTTCTCAATTTGTTTATTACTTTGTCACGAAGTATATAGACAATTAGTAGCATCAAGTCCTTAAATGTGTTATGGAACGCTGTCCAGCATGGCTTGCTTCAGCAGAAAAAGAGAGTGCCGATAGTCATATCCTTGAGCAACATTTAACTCATGACATCAGGCATCCCATTATGATAGATTCAGAGTTACACAAAATGTTTCCCACTATATCATGAAACTATTTGAACTACATACACTGAGAGATGCCCGAATCACTAAATATTCGAAACCTGATACCGAACGTCTGAATCCTAAAGCATTACATACACTCCCCCACATTATGATAGCCAAAGTGGCATTCTTGCCACAGTACTGTTTCGTTTTATTGTATGATTTTTTTTATTTTATTACTATTTTTGATATTATTTTACTTGTAACGATTTCAGAATTGCATGGAGGATTTCATCATGAGCTGACATCAGTTAGAGAACCACTGGAAAACCTGGGAGTACTGGACAGCTGTTTCGTCTTAGTTTGGGACTGTTCAGCCGTACGCACGCACAGGGGTTCGAACCCAGGACCTTCTGGTTACAAGGCGAGCTCGTATACCATTAAGCCACTGGGACCCGATCGAAAGGTCCTGGGTTCGAATCCCGGTGGGGGCGTACTGCTGAACAGTCCCAAACTAGGACGAAACAGCTGTCCAGTACTCCCAGGTTTTCCAATGGTTCTCTAACTAATGTCAACTCATGATGAAATCCTGAAACCAGTCAAATCCCTACAAGCCATCACTTGAATCCCAATGAGATGCTCACTAGCGACTGGCCCTATTCAGGTAGGTAGTTACCTGGGTTCCAGTGGGAAGTCGTGACCAGTAGGGTGCAGCGGGTCGGGTGTGAGGACAAATACTCGCCGAAGACATTGGCTAGCGATCGCGCTATGTCGTGAATTGGCAGAAGTTAGAATTGAAGGACCATTGGATCGGGTCCCGGTGGCTTAATGGTATACGAGCTGGCTCGCCTTGTAACCGGAAGGTCCTGAGTTCGAATCCCGATGGGTGCGTACTGATGAAGAGCCCCAGACTAGGAAGAAACAGCTGTTCAATACTCCCACGTACCCAGAATGATTATCAAGAGGGTTTTGTAAAAGCCAGTTACTTGGTCATTTCCTGAGCAATTTTATTCCCTCTAGCCACACAGCTCCATCAGAGTCCTCTTTTAAAATTATCCCCAACAAGGTTAGGTTTGACGAGATACCACCTTTCGACAATTGTGTGTTGACAGAAGCTCTATGAATTTCCTGACACAATACTAAATCCTGTGGGTAGAAAAGGTCTGTTCAGTCTCTTATTTTATTATATTCTTAAACTAAATCATACTGTTTTGCTTCTATTTTCAGTAACCACTTCACTAATCCAACACTTACGTCTTCGTTCTGCACACTTCACCAGTCAGTGTTTTCGTAACTACATTCATAATTTTCAAATGGACACTAGACCCTTCCGCTGACAATTTTTAAATAAATTTTACGGTTTCGGATCTAAGATTAAAAACTGAAGACAGGCTGAAGAATCTATTTAGACTGATACTACTATTCTGACATCAATTCTTCCTTTTGCCAAGTAATGAGTGTTGAAGAAAGTATTCAGGAGATGTCGGTTCCCTTTCATGAGTGTTAAATCTTCAAGAAGTATTAGTCAGGAGTCACATAACATCAAATCCCTTTATTAGTCATATATTTGTTATATGATAGAAACAAAATTCAATAGGTTTTTTATTTGTCATAATTTTTATTTTCTTTTACTAAAAATCATTTCTGTTTTCTCACAAATGTTTGATAATTTTAAATCACTTTAATTTACACTTTGTAAAAATTATCTTTTTTTAACAATCTTTTTAAACAAAGACATTTTAATTTACAACAAATGCATCGTATTTGTATTTCTTATGCATGTGTGTGCATGTGGGTATGTGAATTGTGTTTTAATGAATTGTTTTCATTTTTCTTTTCCTTTCATTTAATTGTGGTGAATTTAAATTTGTTAAATGTACTTGTCTTTGTAAAGTATTTGTTTTAATAGGTGATGTAGAAGAACATGTATTTACAACGCATAGACCAGTTTGATTATTATTATTATTATTGTTATTATCTTCATGTTCATACATAATTGGTGTTATACAACATTGTCTATGTAATAATCCAGAAGTTGAACATAATGGTTGATAAATAAATTCTTTATTTAATCCTGATAAATCTGTTGCTTTCAGTAGAGTGTATGGACTTTCACGATTTTGAGAATTCATTTCAATAATATAAGCATTACCACCTCCAATAGGATTGTGTAATGCTGATATTGTATTATATTTGTGATTTGGATTCATGTTATTACTGTTATTATTAGTATTGTTATTACTAACATTGTTGTTATTGTTGTTAGTGGAATTATTTGTACTGAATGTTGATGAAGAATTACACGGTTGTGGACTACTACTGTGTTTAAATGTATCTGTATCTATAGTTCGATAAGTAGAATCTTTTAATAGTATATGATCACACGGTGAATTTGATGCTGTATTCTGTACACAACGAAGTAAATTGAACTCTGGACAGTGTTCTAAATAATTATTAATAATGAAAAATATATATTAATAGGAGAAGTACTTGTATAGACTACTTAAAAAGTAAACAGCAATTAATAAAACTAGTTTCACGTCTAACTCGTCTGACACGTTAACTTGACCTGCTGTGAAGTCTGTTTATTCAGAAATTCTGTATTACTCTGCTTAATTTCCCTGATGTTTAGTTTAGTACTACATTAATGCATAGTATCTCTTATGGAAGCTTTTGACATGTAATCTGTAGATGTTAATGATTTACTGTCATTTGAAGTAATAATACTTTAATAATTATGGTCTTATAAATGTAGGTCCTCATGACAAATTTATCGAAAAGAGTATTCTTTGTTCATTAATCAACCTTTTAATGCTTTTAGTGGGCATCTATAATCAGTTACACTTGGAATACATGATTTGGACAGAATGCCTCTTGTTCGATGCATGATGATCGAAGGAGAAATGGTGACTTGATACATGGCAGAAATTGAACTAGCATCCTCTCACTATCTAAGAAAGCCAACTGTTAACTGGGTCAAGATTTATTCTCACCTTTTGGAAAATTTGTTATGTTTTTTTTTAATAATAATGGTAAAGTATGCGGATATACGGTACAAAAATTTTCAGCGTATTTAGTTCCAAAGTACTTGTTTCTTCACCCAGGATTCACATGTAAAGTAATAATTTGAAGTATATCTTCATTTCGTTGAAGAATTGTACAGCGTTTACTTGGGACCAAGTAAAATCATTGCGCAAGTTTATGTATAGGTCATTTGATATAACTGGACGATTGAAACAATGATAAATCCAGATGAAATTAAGCATTTTGGAGGAAAGTAATTTCAGTAGCCCAATGATTTAAGCAGGCCGCCTTATTATATGTCATCTATATATAATGCAATCTTACCGAGTGTTATTACGACTGAAGAAAGAAGTAAAGCCGTGTTTAAAAAAATATAAATTGATCTAAACGAGCAAGCTCTGTTGTAAACCACTTAACTGAAACTCAGCGACTTCTTCTTGTAGATACAAGACGACCCCCAACTATTCTTATATGTAGTTTCTGCTGTGATCTTAAAGGTTTTCATCTGAACATGCATTTTCAGGGTCTGTGCAAGTATATTCATTGCACTTATCACTGAAGAATGCCATCAGCTAGTGTATTAGGGACAAACAATAAGTTATTCATATCTCATTCCATACTATTTAGTAGTTAAAATCCGCACTATTAGGCACTCACTACCTTTTCCTCCATTTCATTAGTGTGTCTAATTTTAGTTCTCTTGGAATTTTTTTCGCTTTTAAATGAATGAAACTAAACTTTTCTACATAAATAAAGCATAGAATGGTAACCAAACATCCACCTCACCTTTATCGACTTTGAAAAGGCCTTCATCAAAGTGTCGATAATTTCAAAATTACTTCAAAACTGTTGACTTCCCTAGACCTTTGTCAGTAACATCTTGCAACTATATACTGATACCACATGAGAAGTGATCTACACAGAAGAACTCAACTAAGCATCTGAATTGAGGACTGGATTAAGACAAGGATGCCTGATAATATCTCTTATATTTTTGATTGTGCTGGACCAAATTACGCAGCAGATCGTGGGAAACGAGAAGATAGAAATTGATTGAATCAATAAGAAAACTCTAGAAGACCTGGATTTCGCACATGATTTATGTTTGATTTCACAAAAATTCGAAGGCTTGCAGGCGAAAACCAAAAAACTTGCAGAAGAGGCAAACTGGGAAGGCAGGACTTTATAGGAACACAGAGAAGACGAAAGTGATGCAGATAATTAGCTAAAAACACCGATCAGTACCAAATGGTGTAGGCGAGAGATATTTGGAAGAGGTGACTTCCTTCCCTTATCTGGCTAGGCAGCATCGTTTCAACTACAGGCGACAGCAAGAATGAAGAGAATAAGTTCAGCAATGGAAAGGTAAGATATACCTTCATCAATCTGAAATTAGTTTAGAAATCTTCTGCATGCAGTATAAAGAATGAAATTCGAATTTTCAACAGTAATGTGAAATCAACTCGTTTTTTATTATGGTTCAGAAACTTAGCACCCGGCGGACAGCATTTCCAATAGACTAAAGGGTTTTATTACCAGTTGCCTTCACCGCCTTGAAGCTCAGAATAAAACAGTTGTATGAATAGGATAAGTAACAATTAACTCTTAGATGAAGCTAACTAACCGTGGAGCCAAACCAAGAAACATTCAGAATGAAATCAAGTTGCTTTAGACACATGCTGTGGCGGTCGTTGAGTGACATAAGCATGCCCTTAAGTGAAACTCGAATATGAAACAATGAGTCCGGCAGCTAAAGTTGATATGGAGGAGACAGTATGGAGATGAGAAAACTTATGGAAAATCCTGAAGTCATTTTAAAGGTACTGGAGATTACACAGGGTGAAATTGAGATGCACATCTGAAGTCCTTTATTCCAATTAGAATAAGTAATAATCATAAAGAATGGATTTATTGTTTGGACAGATGCATCATCATAGAATTATCGAAAATATACATCAAAAAACTGAAAGAAATGTGAATCTATCTAACCGGTACTTTCATAACAACAGGCAAAAACAACATACGGGTAAACAATCATTAATAGTTTCCGTTATCAAATGTTGTTTTAATCTGTTGACTATGTTCAAACAAATCAACAAACAGACAAAGCAGAAAAAATGTAATTTAACATTGAAAACCCTTTAATTCATTGAACATTAACATTTTAAGCGCCAAAATATCAAAAAAAGAAAAACAAACAGACGCTTCGTATACGTCTCTCTAGATCAGCACACAAAGAGACAATAACACTGTATGCCTACCTGCCTTCGCATTAACTTTTTGATATCCTGATTAGAATCCGGCATTGACGAAAGAAAAACAACAAGCAAAGTAGAGAAATACACACAAAAGCGACAAACACTGTTCACAACAGGAAATAATCATCATCATCATCATAACAAGCCAGCTACCTATTCAGCTACCTACATGTCTGTTGTTAGGTTTGCTGCTTCTCGTATTCTGTTTCGTTATAGACCAAGTTTAGATTTATATATATATATATATATATATATATATATGTAGTAGAATAGGATAAAGATATTTCTGATGAATAATTACTTATGTTCAGGTTGTATTAGTCATTAAGGGTTTATTTATTTGTTCGTTTATATGTTTTGAAAACTATTGTTTATTTCTTTCTCCTTTAATGTTATTATCACTTTGTATTGGAAACATTGAGATTCTGTATCTACTCTGATGTAAGCAAACAAAAACAGAGAGAGAGAGAGATAGGAAATAAAACATCTCCACATTATTACTCTTTCAATTAATCAACTAGTCTTTCTGAATACAGAGAGAGAGAAAGGAAGAGGGAAGAACAGAAAGAACCGACAATGAAGATCCATTAAATCAGCTTTAACTATTTTCATTTCACATTATGTGGGAGAGATGATTGTATTTGTCGTTTTTAATGTAATTACTTTTACAGAGCGAAATAAAACGTTAGAAATGCAAAAAATACACTGAAATAATTTACATGGGTTGTTTTGAGAATTACTGAAAACTGGGGGCGTACTTGGTAGCAGATATCTTGTCCTAGATCTAGAGCTCCACTGCCATGGTTTGAAAACAAACTTGCAATAAATTAGATCCCTACAAACTAAATCTTGAAAAGTAAGTCTGGTGACGGCAAGTGACTCGCTACAGAGGAAAACTGACTGAAGTTTCAGTGAAAAGTGGAGTCCATCATGTAGGGTATAAGGAGAAATAACCGCCAATGACATTACCTAGAAGTTAGCACTTTATATATAAAAATTGGTGGAAATCGGAATTTATCAACCATTGAGTTGGGTCCCAGTGGCTGAATGGTCTATGAGATGGCGTTAAAACCGGATAGAAGTGAGTTGGAAATTTGGTGGGTGCGTGTTGTGAAGAGTCTCAATCTAGTAAGAAACAGCTCTCCAGTACGCTCTTGGTTTTTCAATGCTTCTTTGACAGTTGACAGTCAGTGATCAAACATGAAACATTACAATGAGCTTTTTCCCTTGAATTTATCTCATTTTTTCGATTTTATCCTCGTTTTATATTTTTGAGGTGGGCGCCGGTAGCTCACTGGTAGACTAATCGCCAGTCAAGGACTTGGTCCATGCTTCAATCTATGACCGATGCGCTCTTTAGCCTTTCCGAGCTGATAGTGGTCCTGGTACAAAGGAAAGATCCTGTGTGAGGCTAGTAACTACAGTCAGTAAAAAAGTAAACACCATTTCTACTGATATTTTAATGCTCAATCTTGAACCCTTATATCCCAATGTTTTTCCTTCCCGTTCCGTAGCGGAATATAAGGCTTCAAGCTAGTGCCTTGAAGTTTCTGTATCAGTGGTGATTTTTATTACAAGATGGGGTTGCTAGCATCATGCCCAACTTTCCCTCTTTAACAGCTTTATTACTGGCTTAGCGGGGTAAAGGAGTGCATCGGCCGGGGACTGAACCCCGGACCATGTGCATGGTTGGCGAGTGTCCTCACCGCCGTGCCATTGACGCCAAGAAGGGTTAAAATAATAAATAAAGTACTATTCTAAGGTATTCTCCACTTGTGAGCATAAGTCAGCAAAACTGTTAAAACATTACAGTAATATGAGGGGTACGTAAATGTCTCCTCAATTCTCTGAACATATTACTACAAAAGTTACAGAAGAAATGTGTGCCCGCCCTCTTTATTGACCGCATTCATCTTGAAATTGGTGTAATTTCCATAAGCCTAGAGTGTGAGTATATATGTCGAAACTCGTTGGTATTTGAAGGAAAACCCTATGCATAAACGCGTTCAAACCGCCAAAATTTCAACAAAAGCATGATCTCTCGAAATTCTACGCATGCTTTTGTTTAGATATACAACGAAAAGTATTATATAACTTCATGTTTCAGACACGAATTTATTAATCGTAATCACAGTAAATAAGGCTTGATAATGTTCTCGTCAAACTTTATTTGTTATGACAGGTGAAATGAAAGTTACTTGATATGACTGTAGCAATCCCTTAATCACACCTAATGCATGCTTTTGCAGTTCAACTGAGAGTTGAAGGTTTCTGCACTTAGCTAGGTTGTCTTTTAGAATTACAAGTCTTTCTGAGACTTTGTTAATACCTTGATCTAATTCGATGCTGTGACAAATCAGTTCTTTGGACCGTAAGTGTGCGAAAGACAGGGATTTACTTGACCTGTAGATGGCTTTACGAAGATCAAAAAATATGTTTTAAATAAATCCAAAATCCAAAACAGCACCCGATAACAGTCTGTAGGTAAGTGTAACCAAATTTTAGCCATAATGAAGAAGATCTGTAGCTTAGCTAGGTGGTGTTGATGCAGCTGTGTTCTCTGAGCTAGTTGGTTTAGTTGCAAAAGTTTCATTGTTTTACTAGACAACATCTTCAGTTTGTCAACTATCCCTACCGGTGATACACTGAATTCAACTTCTTGTTTCTGTGGATATTTTCTTACCTTTTAGTCCAGCTGCATCGGTGCTCATTATCGTGTTAATGCTAAAGTTAGCCTTTCGTCTGTGTAACATCCTATTTATTTATTGGGAGTTCTTAACTATGCCAGTGTGTATATTAATTGCCTGCCACTTTTCTTACTTCCTCCCTCTAGGAATTATACATTGTCCCGATTGATTTGCTATCCATAGCTGTCTGGGTTTATTGACATGAGAGAATGGATATCATGTCTTTTGACGACCAGCTTATGCTCATGGATACG